CAAAAATATCTTAATTTGTGTTCCGAAGATGAATGAAGGTCTTACGGGTTTGAAACGACATGAGGGTGAGTAATTAATGACAGAATTTTCATTTTTGGGTGAACTAACCCTTTACGAGAACTAAGAATAAAATAATTATCAACTTAGTAGACCATAGCTCAGCCTCTGTAAATTGGTACAAACATTTATATTATTATTACATTTTATTTTACTTCTGTGGATGTGGTTTAGTAAGTGGGGAAAATAATTAGTTGTAAATGTTGCAATATATATATATATATATATATATATATAAATTGCACTGTTCAGCTAATTACAGTAAGGTTTGATATTATAATTTTGTATAACATTTTTTATACGTTATTTTCTTTTGCATAAAAATTGCAGCTTTAAGATCGAGATACAAACTTACTTGGCAGTTTTCATGGACCCTTTCTGGTTTGGTGGACTTTGGAATTGTGACAACTCCGTGCTGAAATTAAATGTACAACTAAAATAAATGAGTAACATAACTGCTGCTTCTGATTTATACTTGCTTGACAAAAATATATCAAGAGCAAAACTCACAGTTGGAAGATGATCATTGCATTACTGTAATGCGTAACAGACAGGATGCTTCACAAATATTACGAAACTATACAGTGACTCATAACCCGCTTTCAGCATACTTTCATATGAAGAGTAATAGATCTTAAGTTAATAGGAAACAGGCATTTAACATTTACAGCTTGAGGGTGAGTAGTTGATTTTCATTTTTGGGTGAACTATCCATATCAACAACTGGTGACGAGCTACCGAAATGCAAACTGTACCTGGATACTCCAGCGTATGCATATTTGTGACGCGCTGTGGCCGTATTTCTGGGCGAGCTCCATGACTGATGGATGAGTGAGAGCTTGACCTTTGGCCAAAGGACAGTAGCCTTCAAAAACGATATTCTCCTTCCGGCAATATTCAACCAGCTCCAGTGGCTGCTGGAAGGGATGAAACTCCACCTGCAAGTAAATCAAACACAGTGACAAGTTTTCATTTATATATACCCTTCTTTTCTGTAATTGTTTAATTTGGACTAAAAAAATAACTGCTTTATTTGTAGAAATGGCATTGAAAAATAAAATGTACAAAAGTTTATGAATGATTTTACGGAGTGTAGAAAATAAATGTATTGTTTTGGTTTTATCACAGCGAATAAAGATCATCATTACATTGAAACCTGCATAATTCTACATAACCGTTTATGACCAAAGTTTAAATGAAGTTCAGTTATTTTAGGCATCTTTGAGATTATTGTATTTTTTTATTGCATATGTTTTATAGAAATAAAATGTCTACATTTCTTGATTTTTTCTTGATGTAATTTCTTTTTTAAATTTCGTTAACACTTTAGATTAGGGAACACATTCACTATTAACAAAGTTCTCTCTCAAACTCCTAATTTGCTGCTTATTGGTAGTAGTTGTAAGGGATCTAGAATATGTTCATGCAGAATAAGAAAAAGTACTGATAAACAGCCAACATGCTAGTAAGCAAGTAGATAATAGTAATTCCTGTTCTCTAAAATAATTATTCTCAACCATTTTGCCATACCTGGTTAACATGAGGCACAATTCCAGCACGATCCTTTAACTCGTCTAAGTGGTGTATGAGAAAGTTACTCACTCCAATGGCACGACACAAACCTGCAACAAAGGAGAAGGGGTCGTTACCTACAAACTATCATTTCTAAATTGAAGAATGAACCTAAAAGAGCATGAACCTTCATCATAAAGCTCCTCCAGAGCTCTCCATGTCTCTGCTCGAACCTCACGACTGGAGACGCCTGGAACCATGCAGTCCGGCCAGTGCATCAGATAAAGGTCTGTGGAAAGAAGTTGATTCAAAGGGCTGTTTACAAAGAAATCTGGCACTTTTCGAGCCATAAAACTGTACCTTTGACTAAACAAGTCACACATTTACCTAAATAATCCACCCCCAGCCTGGCACACGAGTCCCGGCAGGCTTGTTTGGTGCTCTGGTAGCCGTAATCTCCAGGCCATAGTTTGGTGGTGAGCCAGAGCTTCTCTCGTGGTACTCCACTATCAACCAGAGCTTTCCCCAAAGCCTCTTCACAACCATAACGCTTGGCTGTGTCTATATGCCTTATGCCACACTCCTGTAGAGCACAGCACACTGCTTCATGACTGTAACCTCCAACATGAGATGTTCCTGTGGAACAAGAGAGGACAGTAGTTAAAAGACAGTAACTGTTACACAGTGTATAACTGTAGTGACAACAAAGAGATTTAACACTGCTAAAATTGAACAGTAATGCTTGTATGTTACCAATTTCGGTGTCACTAACAAAAACCTAGAAGCATGGAAATATTACCAAACACTGCCGTGACAAGCAATGAGTAGAAACACTTAGTTGTTGCATGCGAATGTCAGGAATGAGCTTGTTCTCACCTAAACCCAGAATGGGAATGTTGCGTCCATTGGACAGCGGTACAGTAGGGCAGCTGCTGGGAACTGTCACCATATTGCAGTCTGCAGCTCAAGAGCTCTTCTGGAGACGCTTATTACATGACACAAAACGACTCGAGGTGTAACGTTAATCGGTGACGAAAACGGTTAAGGCTAGAAGGGATCATACAGCTGCGGCTACTGGGCATGCGCACATCAATATAGCGTAATTTTGCCGTTTCAGTGATGCAGCTCGGTCGCTGGCTCACTACCGCTCTCTACAGGACAGAACGCAGGCGTTTCTGTAATATCGTGAAGTTGCGGATAAAATGGGGATACATTAAAACGACCTCAAAGGATCTACCAGTACCAAACTTTTCTCCGCTTTAAAGCAATTAGCGACGTTAACGAATCGTTCTTTTGAGTCGAATCTTTTTAGTGAACTGGTTTAACTTTGCCACGAAACGGACAGAAGGGGATCATTCGGACATTGTTGACTCTCTGAATCAGTGAACCGACAATAAACACAATTATTAATTAAAAAACGTGTCGAAATAGTAAATAAAAGCTATATATTTCTCCACCATCAATCTTTGGAATCGCGTTTTGAACCGGTTCTTTACAACGAACCGACTCACAGCTGTTCACTATAAGAGGCTCAGTGCGCCTGCGCGGGAAAGTAAACTTCCTTCTGGGATCTCATAAAATGGGAATATGAGGTACTTGTTGCTTTGTCTTGTTTCAGAATGTAAATGTACTCATACGTGTTTGTCATGACAGATCTAGTGAGATTATTTTCTAAATGCGTGCGTTAAATCGTCGCGTGGAGTGCTTGCTAGTCTTCCAGCCTTCAAGCATTAATCAGAATGTTTACGAGTCACACAATAATTTAAGTACGTCAAACTCTTATCATGCATGTATTGGCACATCACTCTTTGTTTGGTGTGTTTGCTCGATATGGAACTTTTTATTTGGGCTATTAAACAACAACTTTTAATGCTTCTGGAACGTTTGAAAGAAATGGTCACAGTGAAATTGTGTGAGAGTGCAATCAGTTATATATGTACCCTTTAATAAATTCCACCAATGAATCCAGACATTGATAATTCTGCAAATGCAGTAACCGATGAAACTGATTCACAATCACGTATGTCTCCTAATTGGACAGATTAAAGTCCCTGAGGTTTATTTGAATTGGTGTTATATTGTGATGAATAAGTGTTCCCTTTTTTGTTTTTTGTTTATTTATTTATTTGAGCTGTGTATGTGTGTATATTCAGCAAAAATATGTTTTTTTGTTCTAGTGAAGAAAGAAAATCCTGCAGGTTTGCAGGACCATGAAAGTGAGTAAGCCATCTCTTTAAACCTCTTGTCTTCTCCTCATCAGGATTCGTTGGTGCTTCTGCAGGTCTTTGGGCCGTGTGCGGACACACTTCATCATCGCCTCTATACTGTTGCTGCTTCTGGCCGGAGTCTCTCTGACCTTCTTATTGCCTAATAATGAGGACCGCAGCATTCTCCTCAAGCTCCGTCAGAGCTCCAACAACTCACTCACTCTACTGGACCCCGAGGATAGTTTTACTATAATTATGCAAACCTATAACCGCACTGATATTCTCCTCAAGCTCCTCAACCATTATCAGGCTGTGCCTCACCTGCAGTGCATCATCATAGTGTGGAACAACCCTAGCGAGTCGCCGCCCAGGGAACTGTGGGACGCCCTCGGCCCACACCCTGTGCCCATCATCTTCAAAGAGCAGAGCATCAACAGAATGCGCAATCGCCTGCAGCCGCACCCCGAGATCAAGACTGATGGTGGGTGTGTGATTCTCACATGAACGAGAGGTGATTCGTCAGATCATTGCCCCAAAGATTTCTTAACCTAATCACCTTTTTCCATTTAGGGCCGATGACATATTGTACGCCATAAGAAAAGAAATTATCTTTTAAAATCTCAATTAAAACCCACACGAGTGTGCATATTTTTTTTTTTATGTATTTTTTATTCATTTAAAAGGGACAGTGCTGATTAACAGCACTTCTGTAAATGGGTCAAAGATAAAAGGTCCCATTTTGGTGTCCACATCAAATTTACAAAAGTGATTTTATATACGTAAAAAGGATATTAAATGTCTGCTTTAGGGTTTCAAATAACTTTTGTGAAAATAAAATGTCACAATATTTTTTAATTAATAATTGTTTAATTTGGACTAAAAAAATAACTGCTTTATTTGTAGAAATGGCATTGAAAAATAAAATGTACAAAAGTTTATGAATGATTTTACGGAGTGTAGAAAATAAATGTATTGTTTTGGTTTTATCACAGCGAATAAAGATCATCATTACATTGAAACCTGCATAATTCTACATAACCGTTTATGACCAAAGTTTAAATGAAGTTCAGTTATTTTAGGCATCTTTGAGATTATTGTATTTTTTTATTGCATATGTTTTATAGAAATAAAATGTCTACATTTCTTGATTTTTTCTTGATGTAATTTCTTTTTTAAATTTCGTTAACACTTTAGATTAGGGAACACATTCACTATTAACAAAGTTCTCTCTCAAACTCCTAATTTGCTGCTTATTGGTAGTAGTTGTAAGGGATCTAGAATATGTTCATGCAGAATAAGAAAAAGTACTGATAAACAGCCAACATGCTAGTAAGCAAGTAGATAATAGTAATTCCTGTTCTCTAAAATAATTATTCTCAACCATTTTGCCATACCTGGTTAACATGAGGCACAATTCCAGCACGATCCTTTAACTCGTCTAAGTGGTGTATGAGAAAGTTACTCACTCCAATGGCACGACACAAACCTGCAACAAAGGAGAAGGGGTCGTTACCTACAAACTATCATTTCTAAATTGAAGAATGAACCTAAAAGAGCATGAACCTTCATCATAAAGCTCCTCCAGAGCTCTCCATGTCTCTGCTCGAACCTCACGACTGGCGACGCCTGGAACCATGCAGTCCGGCCAGTGATTCAGAGCTGTTTACAAAGTAATCTATCATTTGAGGTCCGTGTGGCACTTTCTGAGCATGTCACACATTTACCTAAATCCAGCCTGGCCAGCCTGGCACACGAGTCCCGGCAGGCTTGTTTGGTGCTCTGGTAGCCGTAATCTCCAGGGGTGGTGAGCGTGGTGAGCCAGAGCTTCTCTCGTGGTACTCCACTATCAACCAGAGCTTTCCCCAAAGCCTCTTCACAACCATAACGCTTGGCTGTGTCTATATGCCTTATGCCACACTCCTGTAGAGCACAGCACACTGCTTCATGACTGTAACCTCCAACATGAGATGTTCCTGTGGAACAAGAGAGGACAGTAGTTAAAAGACAGTAACTGTTACACAGTGTATAACTGTAGTGACAACAAAGAGATTTAACACTGCTAAAATTGAACAGTAATGCTTGTATGTTACCAATTTCGGTGTCACTAACAAAAACCTAGAAGCATGGAAATATTACCAAACACTGCCGTGACAAGCAATGAGTAGAAACACTTAGTTGTTGCATGCGAATGTCAGGAATGAGCTTGTTCTCACCTAAACCCAGAATGGGAATGTTGCGTCCATTGGACAGCGGTACAGTAGGGCAGCTGCTGGGAACTGTCACCATATTGCAGTCTGCAGCTCAAGAGCTCTTCTGGAGACGCTTATTACATGACACAAAACGACTCGAGGTGTAACGTTAATCGGTGACGAAAACGGTTAAGGCTAGAAGGGATCATACAGCTGCGGCTACTGGGCATGCGCACATCAATATAGCGTAATTTTGCCGTTTCAGTGATGCAGCTCGGTCGCTGGCTCACTACCGCTCTCTACAGGACAGAACGCAGGCGTTTCTGTAATATCGTGAAGTTGCGGATAAAATGGGGATACATTAAAACGACCTCAAAGGATCTACCAGTACCAAACTTTTCTCCGCTTTAAAGCAATTAGCGACGTTAACGAATCGTTCTTTTGAGTCGAATCTTTTTAGTGAACTGGTTTAACTTTGCCACGAAACGGACAGAAGGGGATCATTCGGACATTGTTGACTCTCTGAATCAGTGAACCGACAATAAACACAATTATTAATTAAAAAACGTGTCGAAATAGTAAATAAAAGCTATATATTTCTCCACCATCAATCTTTGGAATCGCGTTTTGAACCGGTTCTTTACAACGAACCGACTCACAGCTGTTCACTATAAGAGGCTCAGTGCGCCTGCGCGGGAAAGTAAACTTCCTTCTGGGATCTCATAAAATGGGAATATGAGGTACTTGTTGCTTTGTCTTGTTTCAGAATGTAAATGTACTCATACGTGTTTGTCATGACAGATCTAGTGAGATTATTTTCTAAATGCGTGCGTTAAATCGTCGCGTGGAGTGCTTGCTAGTCTTCCAGCCTTCAAGCATTAATCAGAATGTTTACGAGTCACACAATAATTTAAGTACGTCAAACTCTTATCATGCATGTATTGGCACATCACTCTTTGTTTGGTGTGTTTGCTCGATATGGAACTTTTTATTTGGGCTATTAAACAACAACTTTTAATGCTTCTGGAACGTTTGAAAGAAATGGTCACAGTGAAATTGTGTGAGAGTGCAATCAGTTATATATGTACCCTTTAATAAATTCCACCAATGAATCCAGACATTGATAATTCTGCAAATGCAGTAACCGATGAAACTGATTCACAATCACGTATGTCTCCTAATTGGACAGATTAAAGTCCCTGAGGTTTATTTGAATTGGTGTTATATTGTGATGAATAAGTGTTCCCTTTTTTGTTTTTTGTTTATTTATTTATTTGAGCTGTGTATGTGTGTATATTCAGCAAAAATATGTTTTTTTGTTCTAGTGAAGAAAGAAAATCCTGCAGGTTTGCAGGACCATGAAAGTGAGTAAGCCATCTCTTTAAACCTCTTGTCTTCTCCTCATCAGGATTCGTTGGTGCTTCTGCAGGTCTTTGGGCCGTGTGCGGACACACTTCATCATCGCCTCTATACTGTTGCTGCTTCTGGCCGGAGTCTCTCTGACCTTCTTATTGCCTAATAATGAGGACCGCAGCATTCTCCTCAAGCTCCGTCAGAGCTCCAACAACTCACTCACTCTACTGGACCCCGAGGATAGTTTTACTATAATTATGCAAACCTATAACCGCACTGATATTCTCCTCAAGCTCCTCAACCATTATCAGGCTGTGCCTCACCTGCAGTGCATCATCATAGTGTGGAACAACCCTAGCGAGTCGCCGCCCAGGGAACTGTGGGACGCCCTCGGCCCACACCCTGTGCCCATCATCTTCAAAGAGCAGAGCGTCAACAGAATGCGCAATCGCCTGCAGCCGCACCCCGAGATCAAGACTGATGGTGGGTGTGTGATTCTCACATGAACGAGAGGTGATTCGTCAGATCATTGCCCCAAAGATTTCTTAACCTAATCACCTTTTTCCATTTAGGGCCGATGACATATTGTACGCCATAAGAAAAGAAATTATCTTTTAAAATCTCAATTAAAACACACACGAGTGTACATATTTTTTTTTAAATGTATTTTTTATTCATTTAAAAGGGACAGTGCTGATTAACAGCACTTCAACAGAATGCGCAATCGCCTGCAGCCGCACCCCGAGATCAAGACTGATGGTGGGTGTGTGATTCTCACATGAACGAGAGGTGATTCGTCAGATCATTGCCCCAAAGATTTCTTAACCTAATCACCTTTTTCCATTTAGGGCCGATGACATATTGCACGCCATAAGAAAAGAAATGATCTTTTAAAATCTCAATTAAAACACACACGAGTGTGCATATTTTTTTTTTTATGTATTTTTTATTCATTTAAAAGGGACAGTGCTGATTAACAGCACTTCTGTAAATGGGTCAAAGATAAAAGGTCCCATTTTGGTGTCCACATCAAATTTACAAAAGTGATTTTATATACGTAAAAAGGATATTAAATGTCTGCTTTAGGGTTTCAAATAACTTTTGTGAAAATAAAATGTCACAATATTTTTTAATTAAAACACTTCTTAAAATATATAAAAGGAAAAAGTGATCCTACTAAATTTTATCATATTTTAAATGATTAAAAACGTATTGATGACAAATGGGTAAAAGCTAGTGGTTTGAAGGGTAGTGGCAAAGATTGGCAAGTATTTAAAATTACAATTCGTATTTTAGGGCTGCACTGTGAATCTTAAGTATAGTCTTTTAATGTCATCAATGGTTCTTGTTCTAAATACGCCTGACATTTTAGTGGGTAAAAAATGTATGATGGTCATTGTAATTTGCTCAGGGAAAAAAATAAAATGAAACTGGACACATTCTGAAAATATATGAAATACGGTTGTGCTCAATATTATGTTAATAATGTTAACAAAATATGAGAATATATATATATATATATATATATACTCCACAAGAAAAAATATAAAATAAAAATGACCCCGTTCAAAAGTTTACATACCCTTGAATCTTAATACTGCGTGTCATTTCCTGGATGATCCACGACTGTTTTTCGGTTTTGTTATAGTTGTTCATGAGTCTTGCGTTGGTCCTGAGCAGTTCAACTGCCTGCTTTTCTTCAGAAAAATCCCCAGCTCCTGCACATTCTAGCCAGGGGGTGAAAACTTTTGAACAGAATGGAGATGTGTACATTTATCTTATTTTGCCTAAATATCATATTTTTCATTTAGTACTTCCCTTCAGAGGCTACAGAAGATAGTTACATGTTTCTCAGAAGACAAAATAAGTTAAATTTACCCTGATCTTCAAATTCAAAGGTTTTTGAATGCATGGTTTTTCCTTCTGGAGCATCAGTGAGCGTTTGAACCTTCTGTAATAGTTGCTTATGAGTCTCTCAGTTCTCCTTGGTGTGAAAAGATGGATCTCAAAATCATGGTCACTTTTGGAAAAGGTTCAAATATTTGACATTTATAGATAGGACAAAAAACTATGTATTTCATATGGGTTTGAAACAACAAACAAAACGGAGATCTTTTAAAGGGACAGTTCAGTCTAAAATGAAAATTCTGTCGTTAACCCTCATGTGATTTCAAAAGGTTCATTCATCTTCAGAACACAAAAGATTATTTTGAAGAAAGGTGGTTACCAAACACTATTGATGACCATTGACTTTATACAGAAGAAAGAAAGTCATACAGGAACTATCCCTATATGTCATTACAGCTGTGTTTGTGTGCTTGTCTGTGAGACTGTACTGACCGTCACTGTCTTTTATCTGGGCAGCTGTTTTGATGCTAGACGATGACACGTTGGTCAGTGTTCCTGATATCAGCTTTACATTTTCTGTCTGGAAGGTAATAGGAAACTTCATCTGTGCTTTACTTGAGTTTTAAATGCTCTTTCAAAAACTCTCTTCAGAGACACAGACCTTAACTTATCTTTTTTTTTATTTCTGTTGTAGCAATTCTCAGATCAGATCGTGGGTTTTGTTCCTCGTAAGCATGTGAGCACAGCATCCGGAGTGTACAGCTACGGCAGCTTTGAGCTTCAGGATCCAGACAAAGGTGGAGGCGACAGGTGAGACTGGGAATAATGCAGCTTTTCCAGGTTAATGTGAAAGTGTAGTCAAAGTAACGTTGACATGAAACTTTTTAAATACATGGTGCATGCATGTGTTGGGCATGTGGCACAGAGCGGAGCACATGCTGCAGCGCTCCTACTGCCTCAACAAGCTGACACACATCTACGGCAACATGCCGCTCCGCTACTCCAATATCATGATCTCACAGTTTGGCTTCCCCAGCTATGCTAATCACAAGAGCAGGATCTGATGTCAGCACATTTAAGAGACAGATACGATCTGAGTTCTGAGATATTAGATCAACTTTTTTGGACACATACCATGTCAAAATGTATCTCATCCAAAACCCGTTTGACTGAATAATTTTGCAACAGTAATATTTTCGACATTCACTGATGGTTTAATATACACTGATGGTGGAGATATATAATTTTTTTTTTTCATTTTCTAATATATTTCCTTGCTGTTATTTGTCTTGTATACCTCACATATGTTCAGTAGATGGAGTGTGAAATTTAGTGCTCCAGCTTTACCAACATAGTATAATGTAGATGAAGGTGGTTTTTAACACTAATTATTAAGCTGTATTATTTTGAGTAATAAATATTATTATTATTATTATCATTAAAAGGGAAAAATATAGAAATAATTTACTTTTACTAAAAATTATTTACTACTCTGAAAAATTTATTCAAAATACTACAGCATTATAATTAGTTTAACTGTGACAAAAATCTACAAAACCTCATCTACATTATATTTCCTTTTTTGTTGTTTAATTTAGTTTTGATATTAACTTATGAATAATTCTGAATAAAGCCGTAAAATACTAATAGTAAAATTGTTAATCAGTCATTTAAATGTTTTTTTTTTTAACACACTGTTTTACTTCAGGATCCAGATTTTCATTGGATTTACCAAGCAGCAACCCAACAGTAGAACAATTGTTTAATGAAAGTTTGAAATGAATATCACTATAAACTACACAGGATCTGCTATATAAAATCATTTATTTAACAATGGCTACATGGAGAAACAGTGAAAGTAAAAGAATAAACACCAGCAGATGTGTGATTTACTGTACACGACTGACTACTGCAAAAAGAACCAAAATAAAACATGCCAAGAACGTCTTATCAAATGTGCCTTCCTGAGATGGTCTTTGATCATGGTTTCTAATTTAGTCTTGTTTTTAAAGTCATTTTCACTTCTTTTTGATAAGGATGCAGGAAGGGCGACAAAAACTATTGTGCTTAGAAGTGCCCATAACATTAATGTCTGATTCAATTTACACAACTTTATGAGCACTTCTAAGCATAATTGTTTTTGTCGCCCTTCCTGCATCCTTATCAAAAAGGGGTGAAAATTGACTTAAATGAGACTAAACTAAAAGCCATGATCACAGACCATCTCAGGAAGGCACATGAGAGATTTCTCGGGATATTAGAGCTCAGTCAACACCTACTTAATTATATACAGCCATTATAGGCAAAATGACAAGGGCAAACATTAGGAAAAAAATTTTTTTTTTCTTTTGTATTCATGTAGTCAGTCCAGTTTCAGCATATTAAAAAGGGGTGAAAATTGACTTAAATGAGACTAAACTAAAAGCCATGATCACAGACCATCTCAGGAAGGCACATGAGAGATTTCTCGGGATATTAGAGCTCAGTCAACACCTACTTAATTATATACAGCCATTATAGGCAAAATGACAAGGGCAAACATTAGAAAACTTTTTTTTTTTTTTCTTTTGTATTCATGTAGTCAGTCCAGTTTCAGCATATTGGGTTTCTGAAAGCTTGTGGTATTTCCACAATAGCCATTTAAATCAAGACCTTCTGAAATGGCTTTTGTTTGGCTGTTGTTTTGGAGCACAAGATGCTCACTGTATTACATTTCAACACCTAGAGTGTTGGATCAGGAATGAAACTTCCCGATGAAATCGTGCTTGATGGACTGATAACAGAAACAGGAAGAGAATTAACAATGCCTGTAACAATTAGCAGGTTGAATGAATCCAAAACTATTGTTGCATTGTTTGCAGAGGAAAAGGAAAATTCAGCATGCATCAAAGTTTGAGGAAAGGAGTTTCCTTTTATCTGTGCCAAAATGTAATCTGAACTTAGATGAAACTGTATGAATTTAGTGAATATGGTAAAACAATAAATCTGTAAAACAAAAAAAAACAAATTTTTGGCTATTTGCGGTGTGCGTTATGTGCAGACTTATTAATTTGGCAAGTTCATAATCTACCTCTGCTTCTCAAAGGAGTTTGATATTTTATAATATGTTTGAAGTTTATATATCCAAAAATAAATGTATACTAACAGTAAAAATTTTGGAAAAAATAAGGTTTTTCAGTGTTGAGAGAATTTTTTTATTTGGCTCCATTTATTTGGTAAAAAACACAGTAAAAGCAGTAATATTGTGAAATATTATTACAATTGAAAAGAACTGTTTGAATATATTTTAAAATGTAATTTATTCCTGTGATGGTAAAGCTGATTTTTCAGCATCATTACTCCAGTCTTCAGTGGCACATGATCTTTCAGAAATCAGTCTAATATGCTGATTTGGTGCTCAGTTATTATAAATTATTATTGGTGCTCAGTTATTAATTCTTATTTCTTATTGTTAATTTTGCAAAGTTTTTGCTGCTTAGTATTTTTGTTAAATGTCGTTACTGTCACACTAGATTAATTGAATGCATCCTTGCTGAATAAAAATATTAATTCTTTATATGTATGTGCCCCAAACTTTTGAATCATTTTTCAATGTTGATAATAATACGAAATGTTTCTTGAGCACCAAATCAGCATATTAGAATGATTTCTTAAGGATCGTGTGACACTGAAGACTGGCATAATGGTGCTGAGAATTCAGCACCATAGAAATAAAATTAAAATTTTAAAATATAAAAAAACTACTTTTAAATATTTACAATATATTTTTTAATGTTGCTATTTTTACTTTATTTTTTTTATCAAATAGATGTAGCCTTTATGAGCATAAGAGACATTTCAAAAACGTAAAAGTTTAGTCGAGTGTGATGTTACTGGAGTTGCTCTTGGCTTTCTTTCTGCAGTGTCGGATCAGCAGTACAGCAGCGGTCAACAGCGACACTGACCCTACAGCCGGCAGGATGGCCACAGGCAGGTCTGGCTTTCTCCAGATCTCATGTTGTGCTGCTGGATTAAAAAAAGTAAAAATCAAATCGCGATGTGATTTGCAGCTGTCGCACTTTCCGTAATCTCATTATAGCATTTTATTTAAAAAATGGAGCACTTCCTTATGCTGAGTAGGCCTGCCCCCAACTAAAGATTTTTCTAGTCAACTAGTTGCACATTATATTAAATTGATTAATATAATAATATAAACCATCCTTTAATATATAGGCAGGCGTATTATAGCGCTCATGCATAAAGTAGGGTGACAATATTTTAGTTTTCCAAAAAGAGGACAGTGGGTGCGTGGGGCTGGGGTGTGGTTGGTTACAGTAATGCCCAAAGTAGCGCAATGACCATATCCCAAATATCAAAACTCAAAATATGTAATTTCCATACCTAAAATACATATTTTACATTTACAGTCACTGTTATGCTTATTGATCATAAACACAGCTAAAAAGCTTCCTACCAGTGGCCATTCTTCACAAAACTTAACATCTAGCACAGTTTTATCACAGAATGCAAAATGTTTCAATACAAGAAACTGGAGGATTTGCTGCTCAACAGATCCTGAGCTCATTAACAAATATTTGATCTTCCTTTACACAGAACGCGTGTGATCGCTAAATCTAAAGTGAACAGCGAGCGCTCATATAAATGAGATTTAAATACTCTGCATATTGATGGAGGCTCCCTGATGCACGAAAATTATATGCAATATTAGAATGGTTGCTGGAGCGGGCGGGACTGGACACAAAAATCACGGGAGCGGGCGATAATGGTCAGAAATTCAGCGGGAGCGGGATTAATAAAACAGTCCCTCGCAGGACTCTAAAACAAAAACGCACACAATGAATGGCGACTGTAGAAAGCAAAACCTGGACATTTTGGGCGATTTAGAAATCCCGGCCGGA